TCAAATACTGTAGGAGCAAATTAAACAGAGATCTCGCACCATCTGTTAACAAAGTGAGTGGGACAGGTTACCACACTAAACTGTGGGTTAATATGTTTAAACTGACTTAGAAATACATAATACATACCTAAACACAGTGCTAAAACATTATCGCCCACCTTCATGTTTAGATAATAACATTTTCCAAAGAAAACTTAGTTCCTTGATACTATAGCTGCCACCAAACCCCCCCTCCATCTTCATCTCTCCCACACTCCCTCTCTAAATACTGCAGCGCCATCGCCCAAGGTCACGTTCTTCAGTCAGATAGGAGACGTGATGAGGAACGAGTACAGCTAATGTACTTTGCCGGCTCGATATTTAGAGAAGTTTCCCTGAACAATTAAGGAGCGAGCTGCAGACATCTTTATTATTAAATAACGTCTCAGACCAGATCCACGGCAGAGGATCGGTACTAAACGTATACACCGCTAACAAATGGGAGATCACACAGACGCTGACACAGAGTGATTAATGTTTACAGCATTTTAAAGAGATTTATTATTGTTTTTATGACACAAGGCTTTATTCAAGTTCCTGTTTAGCCCAGAAATCTATTTGTTCTGAGCTTACAGCGAGCTGTAAATTTCGCTGTTGCTCGCTCAGGCCAGGGTCGAGCCCAAACAACATAAAGTCAGGCCGATAAGCCCAGTTTGAGTTAAACAGCCGAACTTTAACCGTTCGTTCAGATCTACTGAAGTCAGGTTCTGTAGAGAAGTTATGAGCAACAAGAGAAACAGTATTTTCTCTGGATTTACAGACTTTTATTGTTTAAGCTAAAAAATGGCAGAACCCCTAGCTAAAAACCAAAAGAAGCAGAAAACTATGGAGGCAGAACACTAAATAAAACCCAAAAGTAATAAATACTTAGCAGAATGCTAGATAAAAGTTAAAAGTCGTAAAAGGTTAGCTAAAAGTAGCATAAGATCATCTAAAGCTAAAAATAAAAAAAAGCTATAGCAAAAAGCTAAAAAGAGCTTAACATTAGCTAAAAGTGGCAGAAAAGTAGAAGCAGAATGCATGCTAAAAGTAGCAAAATGATAGCTAATGGCTAGAAAATAAAAAAAACACAAACTAAAAGCCAAAAGTAGCAAATTGTTAGCTAAAAGCTCAATAGCCAAATGCTAAATAAATGCTAAATGTTTTACAATGCTAGGTAAAAATAAAAAAATAAGCTAAGAATAGAAAAAAATACTAGCAAAAACCTAAAAAGAGCTTAACATTAGCTAAAAGTGGCAGAAAAGTAGAAGCAGAATGCATGCTAAAAGTAGCAAAATGATAGCTAATGGCTAGAAAATAAAAAAAACACAAACTAAAAGCCAAAAGTAGCAAATTGTTAGCTAAAAGCTCAATAGCCAAATGCTAAATAAATGCTAAATGTTTTACAATGCTAGGTAAAAATAAAAAAATAAGCTAAGAATAGAAAAAAATACTAGCAAAAACCTAAAAAGAGCTTAACATTAGATAAAAATAGCAGAAAACTAGCTAATAGAAGCAGAACATTAACATTAGGTAAAAGTAGTAGAAAACTAGCTAACAGAAGCAGAGCAAGAGCTAATGACCAGAAAATGAATGAAAAATTAAAAGCCAACTCTTTATACAGTATTGTTAGCTCAATGTTTGTTAGGTAAAAGCCAAAAGTTGTAGAAAGCTAGTTAAAAGTAGCAAAAGATTAGTAGCACAATGCTAGCGAAAATGAGCAAGAGGAAAGCTAAAATAAATATTTTAAAGAAGCAAAATTTCGCTTGATATTTTACAAGAAAACAAAAATAGAGCAGGACACTTAAAAAAGAACAATGCTTTTGAAGAAAATAAACAGATTGGGAAAAGATTTAAAATAAAGTTTTATAATTTGAAAAGTACAAATCGACAAAACTCAAAAGTCATAGCAAAAATGCTCAGAATGAGATAAACACTTTGATGGATGAATGGCTAAAATAGCACAAAGTATGCAGAAGTTAAAGTGCAAAATACTTTGTATGTATGTATGTGTGTGTGTGGGGGGGTGCACCTGCTAGAAATAAAGATAACACTGTTCTTTAAAAATTATATAAATATTACATGTAAAAATAGTTTTAAGTTAAAAAACTAAAAAATAGAGTAAGATTGACAATTATGTGTCTTTTTACATTTTAGGACAAATGGAAAAAAAAGATTTTGCTGTGGGATAATCAAAGAAAGAAATGCACCGCAAACATGCTTATCTTTGTTTCTTCCTTCAGACGCAGAACTGAGGAGTTCTACAGGCGAAACCAGCATGACGCAGGTCAAAGTGAAAACCAGTTGCTTGTCTGTTCGCAGGAGACACTTCGTCACTGAAGACAAAGCTGTGGTTGTCTGAAAAATGGAGAGCTGTTCCAAACCGCTTAGCGTGAAGCAGTTTCACCCAAAACAAAACAAAAAAAAGTGCTCAAGGGGTGCATAAAGCAAATTGCTGCTGTCTCCGTCTGGAAAACATTCTGAACGCTCACGCAGACTGTGCTTTAGAAACTTTTACATCACCCTAAATTTACCAATTTTATTTTTTTTCAGCAGAAATTTGAAGATTTTCCTGCAGGATTACGTCAGATATAGCTGCAGCTGTGTTTGGAAACAACCATAGATGATAAAATGCAAAGCTGTAAATTTGCATGAACCACTGTCAAATGTTTAAGGCTCAGTTTTAAGAAAGATCCACTTGTCAGACTACTACAGGTATGGAGGAGTTATGGTTTGCAGGAAAAACATATAAAGTCTAAGCATTCATTATAAGCAGCCGCAGATGTGTTTTTGAATGATTACAGCTACTTTCTAGGAGTTTTATCAAAATTCATCAAGTGGTTCATGAGATATTCTGCTAACAGACAAAAACAAAGAGCATTTGTTGTTGAATGACTCTCAGCTACAACCAACACGTCTTCGCACACCGGTAACATTGATCAAACTGTAGCCATTTTTATCTTTCCTAAATTGGGTTGGTTGTCATGGCCAACTTAAATTGGATTCATTTCAAAACATATGAAATCTTATGGAAACATCCATCCATCCATCCATCCATCCATTTTCTTCCGCCTATCCGGGGTCGGGTCGCGGGGGCAGCAGCTTCAGAAGGGAGGCCCAGACCTCCCTCTCCC